TCGGTGATGGCTCGCTGGAGGCTCGGTGGCAGCTCGGTGACGGCTCGGTGATGGCTGGGTGGCGGCTCGGTGGCGGCTCAGTGACGGCTCGGTGATGTGTATCGCATTGGAAAGGGATGTACTCACCACATATCATTTATACAACTTTTTGCAATTGTATTGTATTGCCACTAATTTGAAGCCCGATTTTTTGATAGAGCGTCTGTTCGGATTTTATACCTCATTTTTAGACTTAATTTCTAATTTTTCCTGGCTTGATGGAAATATCAAAGTGGACCCAGCATGAGACACTATGGCCCTGATGGAACCGCTGGACTTTTTGGGTCCTCCAGGCCTGCACCAGTGATGACCCGCCCTTACCTGTATCCCAGTGATGACCCGCCCTTACCTGTGCCCCAATGATGACCCACCCTTGCCTGTGCCCCAATGATGACCCACCCTTACCTGTGCCCCAATGATGACCCGCCCTTACCTGTGCCCCAAATGATGACCCCCGTTACCTGTGCCCAATGATGACCCGCCCTTACCTGTGCCCCAAATGATGACCCACCCTTACCTGTGCCCCAGTGATGACCCGCCCTTACCTGTGCCCCAATGATGACCCAGCCCTTACCTGTGCCCAAATGATGACCCGCCCTTACCTGTGCCCAAATGATGACCCGCCCTTACCTGTGCCCCAATGATGACCCACCCGTTACCTGTGCCCAAATGATGACCCACCCTTACCTGTGCTCCAGTGATGACCCACCCTTATCTGTGCCCCCAATGATGACCCACCCTTACCTGTGCCCCAGTGATGACCCACCCTTACCTGTGCCCCAATGATGACCCACCCTTACCTGTGCCCAAATGATGACCCGCCCCTTACCTGTGCCCAATGATGACCCGCCATTACCTGTGCCCCAAATGATGACCCGCCCTTACCTGTGCTCCAGTGATGACCCACCCTTACCTGTGCTCCAGTGATGACCCACCCTTACCTGTGCCCCAAATGATGACCCACCCTTACCTGTGCCCAAATGTGACTCCCTTAGTGCCCCAATGATGACCCGCCCTTACCTGTGCTCCAGTGATGACCCACCCTTACCTGTGCTGCAGTGATGACCACCTGTGCCCCAGTGATGACCCACCCTTACCTGTGCCCAATGATGACCCACCCTTACTGTGCCCCAATGATGACCCGCCCATACCTGTGCTCCAGTGATGACCCACCCTTACCTGTGCTCCAGTGATGACCCGCCCTTACCTGTGCCCCAATGATGACCCGCCCTTATCTGTGCCCCAATGATGACCCACCCTTACCTGTGCTCCAGTGATGACCCGCCCATTACCTGTGCCCCAGTGATGACCCACCCTTACCTGTGCCCCAATGATGACCCGCCCTTACCTGTGCCCCAATGATGACCCGCCCTTACCTGTGCCCCAATGATGACCCGCCCTTACCTGTGCTCCAGGGATGAATATTTAAAAAATAGTTTTCATATATTTTGTAATAAAAGCGCATTTCAACATACAGTATATATATATATATTTGAAATATATTTTGAAATATACTGAATACGGCCATAATTGTAGCATTTCAAATATATTTTTCTTCCATGTGGATTAAAAGTAACATTTCCAGGTATTTATTCCCCTCACAGAGATGGCTTGTCGGTGGGCGGCAGTTGTTGAAGTCTTGGCACATTCTCCCAGTTATCACAGATAATCCCCATATTTCTCCTAAAATGTAGATTTATGACCACAAATGGAAGAACTACCACATGGTGGCCAGCAGATGGCGCTGACAATCACAGGAAATAATTGTACAGGGAAGATTCATGCAGCGTGGGTGACTGGCGGAGATGTCTGTCATATAAATGTTTCATACACAGACCCCTGAAGTCCTCAGTGTTGAGACTCTAGAAGCGGTGAATGCGGCGAGTAGCGGGCGCGAAGCTCTACTTCGGGGTCTTGTTGGCTCGTTGGCCTAATAATTCTCTGCGGCTTCTGATGCTTTCATTTGGTTTCCAGAGGCAGGGAAGAGGAAAGTTCCGTAAATCCCCGGCCAATCGGTGACTTGCAGGCAGTTGGGGACCTCCGTCTCGGAGCGACAAGGGTGTTAAGCTCCATTTATCTGACTTTGACATGCGTGACCGCAGAACGCGGCACGCTGCCACAAGCCGCCAACACGCCATCAACACGCCCAACACGCCATCAACACCAACACGCCATCAACACGCCGCCAACCAACAACACGCCATCAACACGTCACCAACACACCATCAACACGCTGCCAACACGCCATCAACACGCCGCCAACACGTCATCAACACGCTGCCAACCACGCCGCCAACACGCCGCCGCCAACACGCCATCAACACGAAATCAAGATTCAACACGGGGAAATCGCCACATCTAACTGCCAAACTCAATGTCAATAGGAATTAGGAGATTTTATCTACAGCTCTCAGTCAGATCGATGCATTTCTCAGCCTCAAATGTGTCTCTAAGAGGAACGTTCGACATCATAATGGGAGCTTAATGTCTGATGAAGTGTAGAGAAAAAAAAGAGTTTCTGCTTAAATCTGACCCCCCCCCCCTCCAGTCTGATATCCTCCCCCCATCCCCCCTCCAGTGTTATATCCTCCCCCCCCCCCCTCCAGTCTGATATCCTTCCCATCCCCACTCCAGTCTGATATCCTTCCCCCACCCCCCCCCTCCAATCTGATATCATCCCCCCCCAGTGTTATATCCTCCCCCCACCCCCCCTCCAGTCTGATATCATCCCCCTATCCCCCCTTCAGTGTTAATATCCTCCCCCATCTCCCCCCAGGCTGATATCCTTCCCCCATCCCCACTCAGTCTGATATCCTTCCCATCCCCCCTCCAATCTGATATCATCCCCCCTCCAGTGTTATATCCTCCCCCACCCCTTCCTCCAGTCTGATATCATCCCCCTATCCCCCCTTCAGTCTAATATCCTCCCCCCATCCCCCCCCCCCTCCAGTCTGATATCATCCCCCCTCCAGTGTTATATCCTCCCCCATCCCTCCTCCAGTCTATATCCTCCCCCCCTCCCCCATCCCCCCTCCAGTCTGATATCCTTCCCCCATCCCCCCTCCAGTCTGATATCCTCCCCCCATCCCCCCTCCAGTCTGATATCCTTCCCCCCATCCCCCTCCAGTCTGATATCATCCCCCCCTCCAGTGTTGATATCCTCCCCCCATCCCCCCTCCAGTCTGATATCCTTCCCCCATCCCCCCTCCAGTTTGATATCCTCCCCCCATCCCCCCTCCAGTCTGATATCCTTCCCCATCCCCCCTCCAGTCTATATCCTCCCCCCATCTCCCCTCCAGGCTGATATCCTTCCCCCATCCCCCTGCAGTCTGATATCCTTCCCCCATCCCCCCTCCAGTCAATATCCTTCCCATCCCCCCTAATCATCATCCCCCCTCCAGTGTTATATCCTCCCCCACCCCCCCCCCCACCCCAGTCTGATATCATCCCCCTATCCCCCCTTCAGTCTAATATCCTCCCCCCATCCCCCCCCCCCAGTCTGATATCCTCCCCCCTCAGTGTTATATCCTCCCCCATCCCTCCTCCAGTCTATATCCTCCCCCATCCCCCCCTCCAGTCTATATCCTCCCCCCATCCCCCCTCCAGTCTATATCCTCCCCCCATCCCCCCTCCAGTCTATATCCCCCCCCAGTCTGTATATCCTCCCCCCATCCCCCCTCCAGTCTATATCCTCCCCCCATCCCCCTCCAGTCCTATATCCTCCCCCCATCCCCCCTCCAGTCCTATATCCTCCCCCCATCCCCCCCTCCATCTATCCCCCCCCATCCCTCCTCCAGTCTGATATCCTCCCCCCTCCAGTCTGATATCCTCCCTCCATCCCCCCTCCAGTCTATATCCTCCCCCCATATCCCCCCCCATCCAGTCTGATATCCTCCCCCCCCATCCCCCCTCCAGTCTGATATCCTCCCCCATCCCCCCCATCCTCCCTTCAGTCTATATCCTCCCCCCATATCCTCCTCCTTCCACCCCAAACTGGCTCCTCCATGTCTTTATGGACCTTGCTTTGTGCACTGGGGGGCAGTCATGTTGGAACAGGAAGGGCCATCCCCAAACTCCTCCCACAAAGTTGGGAGCATGAAATTGTCCAAAATGTCGCCTTAAGAGTTCCCTTCACTGGAACTAGGGGGCCAAGCCCAACCCCTGAAAAACAACCCCACACCATAATCCCCCCTCCACCAAACTTTACACTTGGCACAAATGCAGTCAGGCAAGTACTGTTCTCCTGGCCACCGCCAAACCCAGACACGTCCATCAGATTGCCAGACAGAGAAGTGTGATTGGTCCCTCCAGAGAACACGCCTCCACTGCTCTAGAGTCCAGTGGCGGCGTGCTTTACACCACGGCATCCGACGCTTTGCATTGCACTTGGTGATGGAAGGCTTGGATGCAGCTGCTCGGCCATGGAAACCCATTCCATGGAGCTCTCTATGCACTGTTGTTGGGCTCATCTGAAGGCCACACCAAGTTTGGAGGTCTTTAGCTATTGACTCTGCAGACAGTTGGTGACTTCTGCGCACTGTGCGCTTCAGCATGCGCTGACCCCGCCCTGTCATGTGACGTGGCCTACCACTTGGTGGCTGAGTGGCTGTTGTTCCCAGTTGCTTCCACTTTGTTATAATCCCACTAACAGTTGGTGGAATATTTAGTAGCCAGGAAATGTCACGGATGGACTTATTGCCCAGGTGGCCACCTATCACGGGACCACGCTTGGAGTCACCGAGCTCCTGAGAGCGACCCATTCTTTCACCAATGTTTGTAGAAGCCGTCTGCATGCCTAGGGGCTTGATTGTATACACCTGTGTCCATGGAGGGGATTGGAACACCTGAATCACATGATATGGAGGGGATTGGAACACCTGAATCACATGATACGGAGGGGATTGGGACACCTGAATCACATGATATGGAGGGGATTGGAACCCTGAATCACATGATATGGAGGGGATTGGAACACCTGAATCACATGATACGGAGGGGATTGGAGCACCTGAATCACATGATATGGAGGGGATTGGAGCACCTGAATAACATGATATGGAGGGGATTGGTACACCTGAATCACATGATATGGAGTGGATTGGAACACCTGAATCACATGATTGGAGGGGATTGGAACACCTGAATCACATGATTTGGAGGGGATTGGAAAACCTGAATCACATGATATGGAGGGGATCGGAACACCTGAATCACATGATATGGAGGGGATTGGAACACCTGAATCACATGATATGGAGGGGATTGGAACACCTGAATTGCATGATATGGAGGGGATTGGAACACCTGAATCACATGATTGGAGGGGATTGGAACACTTGAATCACATGATTGGGAGATGATTGGAACACTGAATCACATGATATGGAGGGGATTGGAACACCTGAATCACATGATTGGGAGATGATTGGAACACCTGAATCACATGATTTGGAGGGCGGGGACAATAATTTTGCCAATATAGCGTACTTAAAGCCCCAATATTTTCTGGTGTCCCGTTTTGCCTTGTGGATGACACCAGACAGTGTTAGAGGATTTCTTGGTAAAACGTTGGATTGTTAATAGTTTCCCCTGAAGACTCTCCCGCACTTTCTGTGTTTGTGTCGGATAGAAGAAGAATGATGGCAAATATAAACTGTATGTCCTGATTTTATTTCTCGGATGTCACACAGAAGGAGATTGCCAGACAAGTAATTACCCCGATACAGTTTATATTTCAGTGTCCAATTACTTCCCAACACGTTTCGGTAATCCCTGAAATAATTGGCAGTTGACATTGTGAACACTAATCTATATTCTGGACTTTATTATTCTGACTTTTTACTGACTTCTTACATTTCAATCCAAGAGCCAACTAGTGTCCAATGTGTGCGTGAGAGATGGTCCCACAGCGCCTCTACGCATTTCAATACCCCTCCTCCTCACACACACAGGGCAGGAAATGTGTATTTGCTCCCCCCCCATGCTGAATGTTCGCCCCTCACACAGAAATGATCGGTCTAACAATGGAATGTTCGCCCCTCACACAGAAGCGATCGGTCTAACAATGGAATGTTGGCCCCTCACACAGAAATGATCGGTCTAACAATGGAATGTTCGCCCCTCACACAGAAATGATCGGTCTAACAATGGAATGTTCACCCCTCACACAGAAACGATCGGTCTAACAATGGAATGTTCGCCCCTCACACAGAAATGATCGGTCTAACAATGGAATGTTCGCCCCTCACACAGAAATGATCGGTCTATAAAATGTTCGCCCCTCACACAGAAATGATCGGTCTAACAATGGAATGTTCGCCCCTCACACAGAAATGATCGGTCTAACAATGGAATGTTCGCCCCTCACACAGAAAAATCGATCGGTCTAACAATGAATGTTCGCCCTCAACAAAATGATCGGTCTAACAATGTTCGCCCCTCACACAGAAAACGATCGGTCTAACAATGGAATGTTCGCCCCTCACACAGAAACGATCGGTCTAACAATGGAATGTTTGCCCCTCACACAGAAATGATCGGTCTAACAATGGAATGTTCGCCCCTCACACAGAAACGATCGGTTTAACAATGGAATGTTCGCCCCTCACACAGAAACGATCGGTCTAACAATGGAATGTTCGCCCCTCACACAGAAAATGATCGGTCTAACAATGGAATGTTCGCCCCTCACACAGAAATGATCGGTCTAACAATGGAATGTTCGCCCCTCACACAGAAATGATCGGTCTAACAATGGAATGTTCGCCCCTCACACAGAAATGATCGGTCTAACAATGGAATGTTCGGTGTAACACTGAGAGACAGAATACAACAACAAATTCAGCAGAAATGCGTCTAACAAATGATGACGGATCTGCATGTTCATGAGGGAAAGAAGGATTTGATCCCCTTCACAAAACATGACTTAGTACTTGGTGGCCAATCCCTTGTTGGCCATCACAGAGGTCAGACGTTTCCTGGAGTTGGCCCCCAGGTTCGCACACATCTTAGGAGGGATTTTGGCCCACTCCCCTTGGCAGATCCTCTCCAAGTCATTAAGGTTTGGTGGCTGACGTTTGACAACTCGAACTTTCAGCTCCTCCACAGATTTTCCATCGGATGAAGATCTGGAGACCGGCTAGGCCACTCCAGGACCTTAATGTGCTTCTTCTTGAGCCCCTCCTTTGTTGCCTTGGCCGTGTGTTTTGGGTCATTGTCATGCTGGAACACCCATCCACCACCCATTTTCAATGCCCTGGCTGAGGGAAGAAGGTTCTCCCCCAAGATTTGAGGGTACATTGCCCCGTCCATCGTCCCTTTGATGCAGTGCAGTTGTCCTGTCCCCTTAGCAGAAAAACACCCCAAAGCAGAATGTTTCCACCACCATGTTTCACAGTTGGGATGGTGTTCTTGGGGTCATAGGAAGCATTCCTCCTCCTCCAAACATGGCGAGTTGAGTTGATGCCAAAGAGCTGGATTTTGGTCTCCTCTGACCACAACACACTTCCCACCAGTCCTCCTCTGCATCATTCAGATGTTCAGTGGCAGACTTCAGACGGGCCTGGACATGGGCTTTCTTGAGCAGAGGGACCGTGCGGGCACTGCAGGATTTCAGTCCTTGTCGGCGTAGTGTGTTACCAATTGTTTTCTTGGTGACTGTGGTCCCAGCTGCCTGGAGATCATTGACAAGATCCTCACGTGTAGTTCTGGGATGATTCCTCACTGTTCTCATGATCATTGACACTCCACGAGGTGAGATCTTGCATGGTGCACCAGACCTAGGGAGACTGACACTTGTTTTGTGTTTCTTCCATTTGTGAATGATTGCACCAACTGTTGTCACCTTCTCACCAAGCTGCTTGGCCATAGTTTGGTAGCCCAGTCCAGCCTTGTGTAGGTCTACCATCTTGTCCCTGACATCCTTGGACAGCTCTTTGGTCTTTGCCATGGTGGAGAGTTTGGAATCTGATGGTTTGATGGCTCCTGTGGACAGGTGTCTTTTATACAGGAAACACAATGAGATTAGCAGCACTCCCTTTAAGAGACTGCTTCTAATCTCAGCTTGTTACCTGTATGAGAGACACCTGGGAGCCAGAAATCCTGCTGAATGATAGGGGATCCAATCCTTCTTTCCCTCATAAACATGCACAGGTATACCAGTTCCTCCCCTTCCATCTTGCACAGGTGTCCCGGCTCCTCCCTTTCAGTCTTGCACAGGTGTACCGGCTCCTCCCCTCCAGTCTTGCACAGGTGTACTGGCTCCTCCCCTCCAGTCTTGCACAGGTGTACCAGCTCCTCCCCTCCAGTCTTGCACAGGTATACCAGCTCCTCCCCTCCAGTCTTGCACAGGTGTACTGTCTCCTCCCCTTCAGTCTTGTACAGGTGTCCCAGCTCCTCCCCTCCAGTCTTGCACAGGTGTACCGGCTCCTCCCCTCCAGTCTTGCAAAGGTATACCCGGCTCCTCCCCTCTAGTCTTCCACAGGTGTATAGGCTCCTCCCCTTCAGTCCTGCACAGGTGTACCGGCTCCTCCCCTTCAGTCTTGCACAGGTGTATCGGTTCCCTCCCCTCCATTCTTGCACAGGTGTACCGGCTCCTCCCCTCCAGTCTTGCACAGGTGTACCGGCTCCCCCCTCCAGTCTTGCACAGGTGTACCGGTCATTACCACCACAAATCTGCTCCCCGCAGCTCCCCGCCGCTCGCAGTGAGAAACGCCGGACACTCCCTATTGGAGTCGGAGCTGCGCAGAAGCCGAAGTCTTGATTCATCGGCATTGTCGGCGCTCAGGGCGGAGTCATCAGAATATAATCACATCCAGAAATAAAGAATGAAATCATCAGACGGAAGAAATGGATTCCAGAGACTTGTCCTGACCTCTAATCACCGAAACGCAGAATTCATGAGAGGAGCGCTGACCGCGACAGTCCCAGCGAGGGGCGCTCATACTAATTCCCTCATCATAGAGGGGGGGGGGGGGCTCATACTAATTCCTCATCATGGGGGGGGAGGGGGCGCTCATACTAATTCCTCATCATGGGGGGGGGAGGGGGCGCTCATACTAATTCCTCATCATGGAGGGGGGAGCGATCATACTAATTCCTCCCCCTTCCTGTCCGGACACTTTCCCCCCCTTCCAGTCCAGACACTTCCCCCCCTTCCAGTCCGGACACTTTCCCCCCCCTTCCAGTCCGGACACTTTCCCCCCCTTCCAGTCCGGACACTTTCCCCCCCTTCCAGTCCGGACACTTCCCCCCCCTTCCAGTCCGGACACTTTCCCCCCTTCCAGTCTGGACACTTTCCCCCCCTTCCAGTCCGGACACTTTCCCCCCTTTCCAGTCCGGACACTTCCCCCCCCCCTTCCAGTCCGGACACTTTCCCCCCTTCCAGTCCGGACACTTTCCCCCCCTTCCAGTCCGGACACTTTCCCCCCCTTCCAGTCCGGACACTTTCCCCCCCCAGTCCAGTCTGGACACTTCCCCCCCCCCCTTCCAGTCCGGACACTTTCCCCGCCTTCCAGTCCGGACACTTTCCCCCCCCCTTCCAGTCCGGACACTTTCCCCCCCTTCCAGTCCGGACACTTTCCCCCCACTTTCCACCCCTTCCAGTCTTCCAGTCCGGACACTTTCCCCCCCCTTCCAGTCCGGACACTTTCCCCCCCCTTCCAGTCCGGACACTTTCCCCCCCTTCTTCCAGTCCGGACACTTTCCCCCCCCTCCCCCCCAGACCTTTCCAGTCCGGACACTTCCCCCCCCCTTCCAGTCCAGACACTTTCACCCCCCTACCAGTCCGGACACTTCCCCCCCCTTCCAGTCCAGACACTTTCACCCCCCTACCAGTCCGGACACTTTCCCCCCCTTTCCAGTTCCAGTCCGAACACTTCCCCCCCCTTCCAGTCCGGACACTTTCCCCCCCTTCCAGTCCGAACACTTTCCCCCCCTTCCAGTCCAGACACTTTCACCCCCCCAGTTCCAGTCCGGACACTTTTCACCCCCTTCCAGTCCGGACACTTTCCCCCCTTCCAGTCCGGACACTTTCACCCCCTTCCAGTCCGGACACTTTCCCCCCCCCCCTTCCAGTCCAGACACTTCCCCCCTTCCAGTCCATAAATCTTGGCCAAAATGTATTCAGTCATCTTTTTAAAAAAAAACCCAAATTAGTTTATAACCAAAAATTATAATTTTTAAACTTTTTTAAATTTTTTATATTATTATTTATGGTTTTTTTTTTTTTTTTTTTTGCATACCGTCATCCTAGAAGTACGTGGTCACCATGGTGACACTGTACTACTTGTGGGGGGCGATGAAGTTTTTTTTTTTTTTTTACATTGATTGCTGTTACACCCATAAAGGCTGCAAGAGGAATAATTTCTCCTTCTCTCTGGCTGCATTCTTGCAGCCATTGAGAAATACTCTGTGAGCTGTGATTGGTCACAGCTTGTCACATGGTACAAGGTTGTTGTGAATAGCCCTGTACCATGTGATCTCTGTGATCATTCACAGATTTCACACGTAGTAAGCAATGATGTCAGAAGTGATATCTTGCTTACTACTCTGCGTGTGATCACTGATTGGCCAATCAGTGATCACATGATTGGACCTCACACAGAGGACCCGTACGATGATTGGTGTTCCACTGTGTCCGGAGGACACCGTATCGCAGTGCTGCGTGCTCCCAGGGAGCGCGCACAAGCAGGGGGCGGGGAGGACGTTTATATACATGGGCCGGACGGGAGGTGGGTAAGATGACAAAATCCGGAATACTTTGTAGCACTACCCCCTTAGGGGCCGTTGAGGTTTTTTGTCCCCCCTTGTCCTGGTTTCCTCCCACACTCCAAAGACATGCTGGTATGTTAATTGGCTCCTGTCTAAGTTGTCCTAGTTTCTTCCCTGGCCATGTGGGATCTCCTCCATGGTGGGGGTTGGGAAAGACCTGGCAACCTCCCCTGTAAAATAATTGCTAAGAGAATTCATGGAAGAAGTCGCTTATGAGTGACGGTCCGTCCAATCACCAATCACCAATACCACCAATCCACCAAGGGGCGGGTACCACTGAATGGATGGATAGATAGTCACTTGTGAGTGACGGTCCATCCAATCACCAATCACCAATCACCAAGGGGCGGGTACCACTGAATGGATGGATAGATAGTCACTTGTGAGTGACGGTCCATCCAATCACCAATCACCAATCAATCCAAGGGGCGGGTACCACTGAATGGATGGATAGTCACTTGTGAGTGACGGTCCATCCAATCACCAATCACCAATCACCAAGGGGCACCAAATGGGGCGGGTACCCACTGAATGGGATGGATAGATAGTCACTTGTGAGTGACGGTCCATCCAATCACCAATCACCAAGGGGCGGGTACCACTGAATGGATGGATAGATAGTCACTTGTGAGTGACGGTCCATCCAATCACCAATCACCAATCACCAAGGGGCGGGTACCACTGAATGGATAGATAGTCTGGACAGCCGGGTAACACACATTTTCCTCCAACCTGCACACTGGAGACAGAGAACAGTCCTTGAGCTTGTTTTTTGGGGGGGTATTGAACTTGGATGGGTTGAGGGGTGTATGGGATGCCCAAGGTTCTGTAATTGAGGACAACTCCTTAGCAACTATGTACAGATGCAGATCTCTCCTTGAAGGGGTCTCCAGCCTCTCCTGGTGTACCACCCCAGACCCCAGATGAAGCCTCTTCTCATCCAGCTGAACTGAGGGAATCTTTCAGGAACAGGTCCCAGAACCTGTCACTATAAATGCACCATCCCAGATGGAGGCTAGTCAGGTTTCCCCCCGGAATGCCCTCTCCCCATATCTGGCTCAGGGGGTGTAGGATTACTCACTGTTCCTCGCCTGCAGGTTGGTTGGGTTGGTAGCTGCCTTCAGGCCTTCTGGTGGTCTGGCTCTAGAGGTGGTCCTCTCTTGGGGGACTGATGAGGTCAAGTGATTCTCCTTTACAAGTCCAACCTGGAAGTAGGCCCCTTCCCACTGGGCCCCCTCCCAGGCTCCTGCATCCCAGCCTCTCATCCCGTCTTCTATCCTTGCCTGCAGGATGGTTGGGTTGGTGGCTTCCTTCAGGCCTTCTGGTGGGCTGGCTCCTTCCCTGGCTCTACAGGTGGTCCCCTCTCGGAGGACCAGTGAGGTCAAGAGATTCTCCTTTCCAAATCCAACCTGGAGGTAGGCCCTTCCCACTGGGCCCCCTCCCAGTCTCCTGCATCCCAGCCTCTCATTCCGTCTTCCATCCTCGCCTGCAGGATGGTTGGGTTGGTGGCTGCCTTGAGGCCTTCTGCTGGGCTGGCTGTAGAGGTGGTCCTTTCTTGGGGGACTGATGAGGTCAAGTGATTCTCCTTTACAAGTCCAACCTGGAAGTAGGCCCCTTCCCACTGGGCCCCCTCCCAGGCTCCTGCATCCCAGCCTCTCATCCCATCTTCCATCCTTGCCTGCAGGATGGTTGGGTTGGTGGCTTCCTTCAGGCCTTCTGCTGGGCTGGCTCCTTCCCTGGCTCTACAGGTGGTCCCCTCTCGGAGGACCAGTGAGGTCAAGAGATTCTCCTTTACAAGTCCAACCTGGAGGTAGGCCCTTCCCACTGGGCCCCCTCCCAGTCTCCTGCATCCCAGCCTCTCATTCCGTCTTCCATCCTCGCCTGCAGGATGGTTGGGTTGGTGGCTGCCTTGAGGCCTTCTGCTGGGCTGGCTCCTTCCCTGGCTCTACAGGTGGTCTTCCCTCAGGGGACCGGTGAGGTCAAGCGATTTTCCTTTCCAAGTCCAACCTGGAGATAGGCCCTTTCCCAATGGACCCCCTCCCTGGCTCCTGCATCCCAGCCTCTCACTTCATCTTCCACCCGAACTCTCCTGCTGTTGAGCAGGCTTAGTCACACTTAGGGGCTGCCCTGACCCCATGCCAAACCTCCTGTCTGGGAATTGGTCAGGATCCCTCAAGTATGCAGACCAGCCCCTCCTCACCCCCGCCCACTGTCTTCTAGGAACTTCTCAAGTCTCTAGAGCAGGGGGAGGCATCAGGGAACTGATCTGCAGAGCCCTCAGCCCTGACCTAAATGACCCAGCTGACTCATGCCCAGGCTGCTACTCAGCCTTTCTATCTAAAGTAAAACTCTCTAGCTCCCCCTAGCTATGTAGAGAGGCGCTGCACTTTATGTGTTGGTGTCAAACACTCGCCTTTTTTTGCTTCCTTGTTGGAATTTTGTCTTCCCTCACTTCAGGAGATGTCCTCTGACTTCCTGTTGTGTCTCTGGGACAGGAAGTGAAGGGAAATTTCCCCCCATGGCACACAGACAGCAAAAGAGAACCCGGCAGAGGGCGTAACCCTTCTCCACTCCACCTAAAACTACAGGAAAAGTTCGGCCTCTACACTTCAGTACTTTTCTGCGCATATGGCGGAGTTCCTCCCCTTCCTCTCCATTCCGGATGCCATCTGCTTTCCAACTTGATGTAAATTTCCAGCGACAAGCCGGACTGCACCCCCCCAGCGCCTGCGTCAGTTCGGTCCTCCAGGGCGGGGCTGGACAGAGACGTACGAATCAATGATTGTTGTGACAACTGCGCCAAAGTCAGGAGTCACGTGACCTACAGTGGCCCATATTCAGTCTTCTATAGTCGCACCATCCAAAGTGTGCCGGGTCCAGAGCGGGGAGGGGGGGATCATTCCTGCGACTGTCCCGGGGCTCATTCACACCGGCCTCTGCGTCGCTCTGCTCGCTCGTTCACTCTTTTTTTTTTTAAACAAACTTTATTGAAATGCCACAATAAAGGACGGTGGACGGCCTGCCTGCAACACGGGAACATAGGAGACCTGGACTGGTGGTGGGACTATAATACAGTCCCACCCCACCTGATGTGAATGGGCCCTCAGTGAGTGGTGGGGGGGGGGGGGGGCTCTGATGGCAGGAAAGGAGTTCTCACATATCATTTATCAGGTAAGTTGCACCTTTTATTACTAAAATGCCGTCCTTCATCTCCAGTGACTGTGCCTAGGCTGGGATGATGTCACCAGTCTGCTGCAAGCAGGAGGAAGCATTTCCTCAGTCTCCCCTCCCCCCGTGATCTGACTGTACATTGTAACTTTGTAGAAGGAGGAGGAGTCATTTCCTCAGTCCCCTCCCCCAGTGATCAGACTGTACATTGTAACTTTGTAGGAGGAGGAGGAGTCATTTCCTCAGTCTCCCCTCCCCCAGTGATCAGACTGTACATTGTAACTTTGTAGAAGGAGGAGTCATTTCCTCAGTCTCCTCCCTCAGTGATCAGACTGTACATTGTAACCTTGTAGGAGGAGGAGGAGTCATTTCCTCAGTCTCCTCCCTCAGTGATCAGACTGTACATTGTAACCTGTAGGAGGAGGAGGAGTCATTTCCTCAGTCTCCTCCCCCTCAGACTGTACATTGTACCTTTGTAGAAGGAGGAGTCTTTCCTCAGTCTCCTCCCTCAGTGATCAGACTGTACATTGTAACTTTGCAGGAGGAGGAGGAAGCATTTCCTCAGTCTCCCCTCCCCCCAGTGATCACACTGTACATTGTAACTTTGTAGGAGGAGGAGGAGTCATTTCCTCAGTCTCCTCCCCCAGTGATCAGACTGTACATTGTACCTTTGTAGAAGGAGGAGTCATTTCCTCAGTCTCCCCTCCCCCAGTGATCAGACTGTACATTGTAACTTTGTAGGAGGAGGAGTCATTTCCTCAGTCTCCCCTCCCCCAGTGATCAGACTGTACATTGTAACTTTGTAGGAGGAGGAGGAGTCATTTCCTCAGTCCCCTCCCCCCAGCGATCAGACTACATTGTAACTTTGTAGGAGGAGGAGGAGTCATTTCCTCAGTCTCCCCTCCCCCAGTGATCAGACTGTACATTGTACCTTTGTAGAAGGAGGAGGAGTCATTTCCTCAGTCTCCCTCCCCCCCAGTGATCACACTGTACATTGTAACTTTGTAGGAGGAGGAGGAATCATTTCCTCAGTCTCTCCTCCCCCAGTGATCAGAC